GCCGGTAAGTCGGGGTCGGGGCCGCCCCGGGACGGGCGCGAACGGAGCGCCGTTACCGGGAGCCGCGCGGAGAGAGCCGCCGCCGGGCCGAGTCTCGCCTCCCGCGGTACCGAGAGCGCCGGATCGTACCCTCGGCGGCCCCGGAGTTCCGCAGGAGGCGGCGGCCCCTCGGCCGCCGAGGATCCGTTACCGAGCGCGGGGCGGAGCGGCCTCGGATGGCTCCGTCGGTAACGAAATCGCTCAACGAAAGCCGCCGCCGCGCCGCGGTTTTCCCGCAGCCCGGGCTGAAATTGGGTTCCCCGCTTCGGGACGCGCCCACCCGCCGGGCCCCGCCGCGATCCACGCTCCTACCGCAGAAATCCCGTTTGCGCTGCGAAGGCCCTGCGGCTCTCGGTGTCGCCCGGAACGGCCCCGCGGCGGCTCCGCGCAGCCCCGGCCCGGTCGCGGCCCCTCCGAACGCTCCGGGCGGTTCCAGGCCCCGCGGCACCGACCGACCGCCACCGGTACCGAACCGGCACGGGACGCGACGCCGTTCTGCGCTTAACGGAAAATCGCTGCGTGGACGGACAGACGGACGGGCGATGAACGCAGACCGCCGCCCGGAGAGCCGCGGACGGACGGACCGCTCGGGATTCCCGAACGAACGCGGAACTCCCGCAGCCGGGCGGACGCGCGGACGGAGCCCGGAGCGATCGCTGCGATCGCGATTAACGAAAAATGCCGTTAATGAAGGGAGTCGCGGACGCGGAAGGACGGATCGGAGCTCTCGGAATTAGCGGAGAAAGCCGCACACGGATCGGGACAGCGGCAATTAGCGAAAATGAAAGGATCGTTACTCGGACAGCGGCAGCGGGTGGTGCAAAAAAATCCGACCGGGACGGACGCGGACAGAACCGGGATCACCTCGGGCTCTCTTTTGCAACGAACGAATTCCGCTCGGGCGGACACACGGACGGAGCCGTTCCGGACGGCCTCGGCTCGGCGCTGCGGGGCTCGGCGGGACAGCAGGAGGGCTCCGGGGCCGCTCGGAGCCGCGGGAGGATCGGGCCGGTGGGAGCCGTTCCCGAGCGCGGAGGGGAGCTGCCGCGTCGGGCTCCGCACGGCGCACCGAAGCTCTGCCGGGTCGGGGCTCGGAGCTCCGCCGCAGCCGGGAGCCGGGCGACGGCACGGAACGGAGCGGCAAAACCCGGAGCGCTCGGGACGCGGAGCTCCGGACGGCCGCAGGGCAGCCCCGGCACGGGCACCGCGCTGAGCCCGGCCCGCAGCGGGCGTCCCCGCGGGAGGAACCGGAGCGGAGCCGGCGGGCAGCGCCGGGGCTGCGGGGGGCGGAGGGAGGCGGCGGCCGGGGCCGATGTGCGGCGGAACGGAGCGCCGTGCGGTGCAACGAGCGGGGCCACGGCCGGGACCGGGACCAAGCACGGCACGGCACGGCACGGCAATGCAGTGCTCGGCACAGCCCGGCTCGGCAACGCTCCTCTCAGCGACATAACGCTCGGCACGGCCCGGATCATAACAAAATGCTTGGCTCGGCAATACAAAGCTCGGCCCGGCCCGGCCCAGCCCGTCTCAGTATTATGAGGCCCAGCACGGTCTGGCTCAGCTCAGTAATCCAATGCTCAGTACGGCTTTGCCTGGCGCGGCTCGGCTCAACAAATTAACGCTCTGCACAGCACGGTTCGGGCCAGCAATATAAGGCCCGGCTTGGCTCGGCTCAGCGGTAATAATGCTCGGCTCGGCTCGGCTCGGCTCAGCAATATAATGCTCAGCACGGCTCGGCTCGGCCCGGCAATATAAAGCTGGGCCGGGCTCAGTGCTGTAACGCTCGGCACGACTCGGCTCGGCGATATAACTCAGCTCGGCGATGTAACGCATGGCTCGGCACGGCCCGGCTCGGCAGAATAATGCTGCGCTGGGCTCAGTGCTGTAACGCTCGGCGCGATTCGGCTCGGCTCAGCAGTGCGGTGCTCGGCCCGGCCCGGTTTGCTTCACACGGCCGAGTCGGGCCCGGTCTCGTTCCGCTCCGCTCGGCTCTGCCCGGCAGGGCCCCGCGGGCCGATCCCGGTTTCGGTGCCGGTTTCGGCGCCGGTTCTGCCGCTCTGACGCCGTCTCCCCCTCACCCCGCAGGTCGGGACCCTCTGAGCGCCCTCGCGCAGCGCCCGACGTCGAAGAAGCGGCGCAAATCGCGCACGGCGTTCAGCAACCAGCAGCTCTTCGAGTTGGAGCGCCGCTTCGTGCGCCAGAAATATTTGTCCCCCGCCGACCGCGACCAACTGGCGCAGCGCCTGGCGCTCAGCTCCGCGCAGGTCATCACCTGGTTCCAGAACCGCCGCGCTAAGCTCAAGCGCGACCTGGACGAGATGCGCGCCGACGTGGCCTCTCTGCAGGCGCTGCGGCTGCGGGAACCCCCCCCGGCCCCTCCCGGCCCCGCGGAGCTGTCCGAGGAGGAGATCGACGTGGGGGCCTGAAAGGGAGGGAGGGCCGGGGGGGGTCGGTGCGGTGCTCCCGTCCTCTTTGTTTCCGCTTTATTTCTGTTTTCTTGTAATTTTATTTCCCCCCCCCCCGCACCTCCACCCTCCTCCCCCCCGCGTCCGTCCGTCGGCCGCCGCCGGGCCCCGGTCCGCCCCGTGTATATATGTGGAATAAAGGGGACATCTCCTTAACGGGGAGCGGGGCGCGGCGGGGGGCGGGGATGGGGACGGGGGGACATGGAGACACACGGACGTGGGGACACGGGGATGGGGCCGCACGGATACGGGGACACAGGGACACGGGGACACAGGGATGGGGGGACACAGGTACACACACTGGGACACACAGACATGGGGACACGTGGAGAGGGGGACACGGGGACACAGGGATGGGGGAACACGAGGAGAGGGGAACGGGGACACAGGGACACAGACACGGGGACAGACAGACACGGGAACACAAAGACATGGGGACATACGGACGTGGGGATGCACAGAGACACCAGAGCACGGGACGCACAGACGCGGGGTCACGCGGACATGGGAACACGCGGATACGGGCACGGACAGAAATGGGGACAGAGAGATGGGGATGGATGGGGGAACACAGGGACACGGGGACAGAGGGAGGGGGTGACAGAGGGACACGGGAACACACGGACGTATGAACACACGGATAGACAGACACGACTCCACGCGTCTGTCGGTGTCCGTCTGTCCGTGCCCGCCCCACCCACCCTTACGCAGGACTCTGCGCACCCCGACAGCCGTCCGTGACGTCATGCTGCGGTGACGTCACACCTCTAGGTCTCCGCCCCCCCCCACCTCCCCGGGGGGTGACCCGCAGCTGCCGCCCCCTCAGCGCTCCCCGGGGCCGTCTGTCACCGCCCGCCGGTGCCCCCCCGCAGCCATCCGAACCCGCCCGATCCAATTACAGCGCTGCCAACTTCCGCGCGGGGCCGCTCCGCCGTCATCGCTCCGTTCTTAATTGCATTGTCCCTCCCCTCCCCCAGCGCTGCGGCAGAGGGGGAGGGGGGAAAAAAATGAGATTTAGCCCTGAAAGTGCCTTTGAGCGTTTCCCCGCGGGGAATCGCGTTTAATTTGACAGGTAGGAGCGTGCGGGGGTGGGGGCTGCGGGGGGCGCGGGGGCTGCGGCTGCGATCCTGCAGCGCCGGGAAGGAATCCGGCCCAGGGGTGGGGGGGGTCCGGGGCTCCCCAAGTGCACCCGGTGCTGATACGGGGCCGGATCTTCTGCCCTCCTCCGGGGGGGTCACGGGGGGATTCGCACACGCAGTTGCGGGTTTGCACACAGCTCACAGGAGCCGCTCCCTGAGCCGCGGTTCCCGCAGCCGTGATCCCCAGCAGGGCGGTGCGGAGCCCCCGAAGCGCTCCGGCCACAACCGTCCGTTCCACGACGGGTGAGCAAAGCGGAAGGGCAGCCCCCCCCGCCCCCCCCCTCGCCCCGCAGCCGACGGCTCACGTCGGCCGCACGAGCGCCCGACTGTCGCGCAGCCGCAGCGAGGACAGGGAGCGGATAACGCAGAGGGGGGGGTTGTTGGCCGTCCCCGCAGCCCCCCGGCCCTCGGGGCCCCCCGCCCCTCCCCCGGCAGGAGGCCGCGCTGGGTGACGCACAGCTCAGCCCGTGGGTCTTCTCTCCATCCCCGCAGGAGGAACCGAGTCCGGCCCCCCCGCTCCTCCATCCCCTATCAGTACCGGGCAGCTGTGGTGCGGCCCCCAGCCGCGGCCCCCAGCCCATCCCAGCCCCCCTCGGCTCCCAGCCCCGTCCCGGGGTGCAGCTGATCGGGGTGGGAGCGGCTGCGGGGCCGGGCGGTGTGCAGCCCTCCCCCCCCCCGGGGCACGGTGCTTCCCAGCGCCGCACAGAGGGGCTCAGGCCGGGAACAGCCGCGGGTGTGGGATCCCGCATCGGGCACGGAGCCCCGCACTGCGGCCACGCGTGTCTCCCGCTCCCCGGCACGGGGCCACGCTCACACCCGCGTGCACCCACACACGGTGCGTCCATCCCGATGGGCTCCGGGCAGCTGTTGTGCCACGCAGTGCCACGCTGTGCCGTGCCGTGCCACGCCGTGCTGTGACGCTGACCAGCGGAGCCGTCAGCCTCAGCCCTCTCTTCCCTTCTCCCCACACTCTCATCTCTTTCCTCTTCCAATTTTCTGGATGATTAACTCCACCGCTGTTTCCTGACAACCTCTGCTGTTGGTATTAATTTCTTTTAACTAGTGATTAATTACTCGCTGTCTCCCGCGCTCCTTCTCCCCGCCGCCTATTTGCATATTAATCCACCCCCCCCCCAGAGACGCTGCCCCGCGGTTTCCTCACCCACAAACGGCACCACACGCTTCACTCTGTGAGCAGCAGCACCGGAGCACCCAGCGCCCCACTCCCATGCTACGGGACCCCCACTGCTGGGTATCCTGGGGGGCATCAGGCACCCCAAGATGCTCTCCGCCCGGCCCGGGGTTTCCCATCACGGGAAGGGGTCCAGGCTGAGGGAAAGAGCAATGCAAGGCACTGTCGGCTCTCGCTTTTATTAAGAAACCCACAGCAGGTACACATCCCTGCAGGAAGGGCCGTCCCTGTGGGTACCGACCCGCCCGGTACCGGCCTGAGGCACCAGGGCAGCGCAGCCCGGGCTGCAGCCACGAGGCACAGCCACGCCGGGGGTACGAGGTAGGAGCAGTGGGGCGGTGGGATGAGGCCGGCCCGGCTGCTGCGGGGAGAAGGCACACGAGGCTGCAGCAGGCGCGTGGTCCAAAGCCCGGCGTGCGGCCCCGAGCTCCCGCAGCACTCCGAGCTGCTTTGCGGGGCCAGCAGCGCACGGGGCAGCGCCCACCGGGGTCCCGCTCTGCACCCCGCGAGATGAGGAAGGTTCCCGGCTCGGGAGCCCCCACGGAGGGTCCTACGGGCGCTGTCGAGGCGGCGGCGTGGCGTGGGACGGGTGTTTGAGCTGCAGCACCAGCCGGCAGCCCTCCAGGTCAGCGCCCTGCGGGGGGGGGACGGCCGTCAGCGCCGTGCGCCCATCCTGCAGCAGAGGGCGCGGCAGCCCCCGGCGCGGCGCTCACCAGCATGGCTCCGTACGCCGCTTCTGCCGCTGCCTTCTGGTGGAAGTTGATGAAGGCGCAGCGCTTCTCCGGGAGCAGCCGGATGGATTGGATCTGCCCAAACCTGCGTGGTGGGGCAGCTCAGCCAGCCGCCCCCGGACACCCCCCGCTGCAGGGAAGGGGAAACGGAGCAGAACGCGGCCGGGCTGCACTGTGATGGAGCAGGGCTCGCTCCCTGCGAGCAGAGAGAACAGGAACCCAGCGCAGGGACAGTCACAGACCGGGCAGCGTGGGGGAGGGGGGGTGCGGTGCCATCAGGTCCTACCAGGGATGGTGATGTGGAGGGACGGGCACTGCAGGGCACTCACCGGCTGAAGCAGTTTTGCAGCACTTTCTTGGTGATCTTGAAGGTGATGTTCCCAACCCACAGAGGATAGCAGTCCCTGCCAAACAGCACCGTCACCAGCAGCCCACCCCCCTGCCCTGCTCCGTGCATCCCCAGCTCCATTGCAGTGCTCTCACTGACCCCCGCGGGCAGCCCCCCAGCAGCCCGTGGACCCAGCAGCCCCTTCTCCTGTGCCAGCCTCCCAGCCCTACCTGGCAGGGTGCTGTGAAGGCAGCGTGTGCTTGGGGCTTGCTGTGGCCGTGGTCCGCACGTGGCTTTTCGAGTGGCTCCTTGAATTCACCACGGTCACAAAGCCACTCATGTCTGCATCGCTGCAGCTCCCGTTCACACACTCATCTGCTGAGAAGCTCTCAGGGCTCAGTACCATCCCTCGCACCCTCAGAACCCACAGCCCAACCCCAGGACCACCACAAAGGTCCCTTACCAGAGGTGGGTGTCAGCAGCTCCCCAGCTTCCAGCACAGGAATGTCCCTGGGGCTGCTGGCATCGTGGAGGCTGCTCTGCTGCAGGGCAGAGGGGTCAGAGCCCACAGGGCAGCAATGTGGAGGCAGCAGCAGGGCCGTAGCTCACCTGCAGCAGCATCTGGCAGGCCTCCAGCTGGGTGGCTACATCAGCGTGGGCACCCTCCAGGTGCAGCAGCTGCTCAAAGGTGTCCCTGGCCTCGGCGTAGCGCTGGGAGCAGAGAGGGGCTGAGCCGCTGCCCATGGGGACACAGGGCCGTGCTGAGCCCTGCAGCCCTGCCTGCCACGTTACCTTCAGCCCCCACAGCGCCTTGCCCTTGCGGAAGAAGCCTTTGGGCCATCTGGGCTGGAGCTCCAGGGCCATCTGGGCATCTCTCAGTGCCTCCTGGTACCGCTGGAGCTTCTCGTAGCAGTATGACCGGTTCCCAAAGAGCCTGGGGGGGCAGCACGGTCACCAGCACAGGCTCAGGGCATGCTGCCCAGTCCCCACAGCCCACTGCTCACCGGTGCTCCCTGGGGTTCAGCTTTATGGCCTCGGTGAAGGCCTGCACAGCCTCTGTGTAGCGTTCCTGCATGGCAGCCTGGTAGCCACAGCCTGCAGGGAGAGCATCGCCCGCTGCTGACCAGCACACAGGCAGCGCAGCCGGGGAGTGCAGGGCTCTGCTGGGAACGGTGCAGCTCTGCACTGTGCCTGCACCCAGCTGCGTGGGAAAGGTGTTCTGGGGACAGACAGGAGCCGTGCAGACCCACAAATGGTGATAAGCACAAGGATGTGTGTCTAGCACAGCCCTCCTGGGGGCAAACCTACCCCCGAAGCTGGCACGCAGCAGAGCAGAGCCCACCCTCTGCCTCCTGCTGCCCAGGGATGCCCGAGGCACTGACCTGCAAGAATCAGGCTCTGCTCCAACATGTTTGTGTCCAAGGGTGCAGGCTCGGGCTTGGGTGCCTGTGGGGCAGCCATGCAGGGCAGTGGGGGCTCAGGTGCCTGTGGGGCAGCCATACAGGGCAGTGGGGGCTCAAGCTCCTGCCCCAGCCCAGGAGCAGAGGTTCAGGCACAGCTGCTGTCCCTGGTGTGTGGGCATTCCTCCTTGCTGTGCCTTAGCTCGCAGAGCTGCTGGGGGAGGGCAGAGGATGCCCCACCCCGCCCAGCTCCATAAAACCATGAGAGGCTACAGAGGAGCTGCCACAGCTCCCAGCCTACAGCATGGGATGAACACAGTGTCCCCATCACCACCTGGGCACCAAACCCCGGCCCTGGGATCATCACACTGTGTCAGCCACAGGGCCAGCTGCAGCTGGGGATCCCTCTGCCCAGCCCCAGGCTCTTGAACACCTCTAGAATCACAGAATGGCCCGGGTTGGACTGGGCCTTCAAGGATGATGAAGCTCTAACCCCCCTGCCACATGCAGGGCCACCAACCTCCACATTTCACAGCAGCCCAGGCTGCCCAGGGCCCCATCCAACCTGTCCCTGAACACCTCCAGGGATGGACGGGGCATCCGCAGCCTCTCTGGGCAGCTGTTCCAGCACCTCACCACTCTCACAGCAAACAACTTCCCCCTGACATCCAACCTCAATTTTCCCTCCCTCAACTTAAATCCACTTCCCCTTGTCCTGCTGTTATCTACCCTTTCAAAGAGTTGGTCTGCCCCCACCCCATCCAAGACTCCTTGGGGCAGAGGCCCTGCAGACCACCTACACTGAGCAGCACACTTCTCATGTGTGGAGATGCCCCTCTGAGGACTGGGATCCAACTCACCCCCTCCTGCAGCCTCTTGTTGGGCTCTGCAGCATCAGCTCTGACTGATTTATCCTTTGCAGGTGCTGGCAGCTTCACACCCGCCTTCTGCCATGCTTTGATGACAAAGGTGCAACTCAAATCCAGTTCATCCTAGGAAAACAAGGGATGGGAGCCGTGCAGAGCTACATGCCCTGGCTGTGGGGCTGGTGGCACTCAGGGCCACAGCTGTCATGGCGCAGGGCTGACCCAGCCACAAGGCATCCCACTCTCACCTCTATCCCCTCCAGATCCCCCACTCCCTCCTCTGCACGATCCTGGAGGCGCTGGGAGGGGCTGGAGGCCAGGCAGCCACTCTCCTCAGCACTGCTGGTGTCCCCGTAAGCAGCACCTACAGCACTGGGCAGGGATGCGGTGCTCTGCAGACAGAGGAGGGCAGAGAATGGGCTCTGTTCCCAGCAGCCCCGGCTCCTGGTGTCTGGGGGTTTGTAGGAGCCCCCTGAGGCAGCTCCAAAAGGCTGCTGCCCGGTGCTGTGCCCAGGGCTGCCCGCCCCAGGTTGGTGCAAAGCTGCTCACCGACGCAGCCGCCTGCTTGCTCCTCAGCTCCTGTTCCAACTTCTCCTGTTTCCTCCGGTCTTTCTGCTTCTGGAAACCAGAAATAAAGAAACGGTGAGCTGGCACCAGCACAGCGCAGAACAAACCCAGCACACGCCCTGGGGTGCAGCTCACTGCCTGATGAGCTGCGGGCAGAGGATAAACAGAGCACGGCTCATAAGGAAGAGATGCAGGCGCCCAGGGGCGCTGTGTGAGCGTCACACACCCACCTTCTTCTTCAGTTTCTTTTTCTCTGCTTTCTTTTTCATCCTCTCCTCTTCTGCGAGCAGCTCCATGGCGTTCTTCTCCGCTTCCTGGGGAAGGAGAGCTGCTGGTGAATGACTGTGAGCCCCCTGCTGCGGGGCAGGGCTGGGACACGCAGCCAGCAGCCGGGCAGCTGCGGGGTGGTGGGGACACCGTGGGGACACCGCGGGAGCCCCGGAGCCGGGCGGGATCGCAGCGGGGCGCCGCGGGAAGGCAGAAGCAGGGACGGTTCAGCCCCGGAGCGGCAGAACGGAGCCGAGGGGCGGCCGAGCGGATCGGAGCGGGTCGGAGGGGGTCGGAGCGGAGGGAGCGAAGGCCGCGGCGGGGCGGCGCTCACCTCGGCCGTAACGCGGTGCCTCCGCGCCGCACTCAGCCCGCGCGGCTCCGCATCCGCGTCCGTAAAGCCGCGCGGGGGGGCGAGCAGCGGATCGCCGTACGGCCCGTAGAGAGCGAACGGGGGGCGGCCGAAGGTCGGGGCGAAGCGCTCCTCCTCCTCCTCCGCCTCCTCCTCGTCGGACTCGGGGCAGAACCAACCCGGCACCGCAAAGGGAGCGAAGCCGAGCCCCGGCCCCGGAACGTCCCCCATGGCCGCCCGGGGCGGAGCCGCCGCCAAACGAAAGCGAAACGCGGCGGAACGGAACCGCCCACCGCGACCGGAAGCGCCCGCTGGGCGGACGCCGGAAGTCGGGCGCAGGCGGGGCGCGAGGCGGCCGCCGCCATCTTGGACGAGGGCGGGACGGCGGCCCGCTAGGTCCAAGCGCCGCCGAGCGCTCGCGTCAGGGCCGGCGCCGCCCCCGCGCCGTCCCGGTGTCCCCCGGGCGCCGCCGGATTAGCGCTGCGGTTAAGCTCATTTCCGCCGCGTCCCGCCGCCGCTGTGGGGAATGGAGGACGGGCGCTGCGCGAGGCCGTGCCTGCAGGTGAGGGCCGCGGAGCGGGCGGCGGGGATCGTGGCGGTAGCGGGGCGCTGTGGGCCGGGAGCGCGGGACAGAGCCGCGCTGGGGGCGGCGGGCGGGCGGCCCGGAGCCGCGCCCGTCGACGGGGCCGAGTTCGGAGCCGGGGCCGGGGCTGCCGCCGGGCCGCGAACCCACGGCCGGGCCGCGAATCTACGGCCGGGCCGCGAACCCACGGCCGGGGCGCCGGCGGCGTCTCCATGGCAACGGCGCCCGCCCCCGCGCGCGGCGTCGCCCCGCCCCTCGCTGCAGACGGCTGGCGGCGATTGGCCGAGGAGGGCGGGGGGCGGGGCCAGGAGCTGAGGTTGCCCCGCCCCCACCGCTCCGTGCCGGCAGCTGCTGGGCGCCGACGGGCCCGGGCTGGACGCGCTGCTGCTGCTGCTGATGGCCCGCGTGCCGCCGCGAGGCCTCCTGCCCGCCCTGCCCGGGAGCGGCGCGGAGCGCACGGAGCCAGGTGAGCGCCCGGCACTCCCGGTCCCGCGCCGTACCGCGAGGTCCCCGGCGGCCCCGGGCCCCGCGTTCCACCGGCGGCGCTCCGTCCCGCAGGCGGCCCCTCGCCGGGCGGCCTGGCCCGCTCCCTGCGGAAGGCGGAGGCGATTCTGCGGAGCTGCGTCGGTCCCGGGATCCTCCGCCTGCGCTCCCCCCGCCCCGGCGGCTCCTCCGCCTCGGACAGCGACGAGGAGGACGCCGAGTTCGGCCCCCGCGCGGCCCAGGTGGAGCAGAGCTTCCGGGGGCTGCGCCGCGCCTTCCGCGCCTGGGAGAATCCGCGCACCGAGACCTTCCGCGGCCATGTGCTGCCGCCGCCCGCCGACGCCTTCTGCTACCACGCCGTGCATCCGCGCGTGGCCGAGCGCTGCGCCGCCCTGCACGCCCTGCTGCAGCACCGCCACCAGCTGCGCCTGGCCCGGCAGTACAGCCGCCGCCTGAAGGCCGCCTCCGACTTCGTCCGCGGGCTGCTGAGTCCCGAGCCGCGGCCGCTGCGGGCGCTGTGCGAGGAGCTGCGGACGCACGCCGGGCACTGGGCCGCGCTGCGGCGGCGGATGCGGGGCGACGCGTGGCTGCGGCCGCTGCTGCTGCGGCGGCGCGAGGCCGTGGCTCACATGCGGCGGGCGCTGGGGCTGCTGGCGCTGCAGGCGGCGCGGCTGCTGGAGGAGCGCTTGGAGGCCGCGCTGCGCGGTGCGGCGCGGGACGGGACCCCCCCGGCGCTGCTCGCCGACCTCTTCCAGGGCCTGGAGATCTACAACCGCGTGCTGGAGGAGCTGGACCCGGAGCCGGGCTCCGCTCGCTCGGCCGCCGGCGCCGGCTGGGCCGCCGGGATGCCGCCCCGCGCCTTCCCTCTGCGGCGGGTGCTGGCCCTGCTGGCGGCCGAGCGGGGCCGGCGGACGGCCGAGAGCCTCGCACGGCTCCTGCGGCACGGAGACGGCGGCTTCGTCGCGGAGGAGGAGGATGCGGGACGGGAGGCGGCGCGGAGCCTCCCCGAGGCGCTGCGGGCGCTGTGCCGCGAGGACGAGCGGCTCGTGAGCCCCGTGCTGCAGGTGTTGGTGGCGTCCGCCGACGGCCTTTGGCGCTCCGCCCTCGACGTTCCTACGGAGAGCCCCGCGGCTCCGTCCCCGCGGCCGGGCTCGGCCTGCAAGGCGGTGCGCTGGTTGGACGCGACCCACGCGGCGGCGGCCGAGGCTCTGCACGCCCGGTACCGCCCGCTGTGCTGGGAGGCGGCCGGCGCCGCGCTGGGCCCCCGCTTGGAGCTGCCGGCCGGCGGGACGGGACGCGCCTCCGGCGTCGCGCGGGAGCTGCAGCGGGCGCTCAGTCTCGGTACGTGCGGGAGGGGCGGCTCGGCTGCCTCCACGGAACGCCGGCACCACGCGGGAGCCGAGCGGCCCCGGGCCGTTCCTCAGAGCTGTCCCTCCGCAGCCCGCATCCCCACGGAGTGCGAGGAGGAGCTGGGGCGGCTGTGCCGGCGGTTGCAGTGCCGGGGTGCCCTGCTCGCCTGGCACCGAGGTACGCGTGGGGGTAGAAGGGGGGGGTGGGGGATGTCCCGTACAGTTCCCGGCACCGCTCGCATCGCGTCTCCCCACAGACTTCGCCCTGGCGCTGGGCTCTGGGCTGAGTGACCGCTGTGCGGTGCCGGAGCGCTCAGACGGCGCGGCGCACAGCGGCACGGCGCGGCTCCTACAGCGGCTCTACCCGGCCCTGCACTCCGCCCTGCGGAACCTGCCGGACGGCCCGGAGGGTGAGCGGTGCATTGCCGGGACGCGGGGATGGGGGCGATCCCCCTCTCAGCTCTTGCGTGACGCTCCCCCCCCCCCCCCCCCCCCCCCCCCCCCCGCTCTGCCCCCCAGGCGGCCCCCTCGGCTCGCCCTGCCTGCGCCAGCAGCTGCTGGGCTGCTGCCTGGCCACGGCTCAGGCCTCGTGCTCCTGGCTGATGGGCAAAGCCTTCCAGTACCTGGCGGCGTGGTCCCTGCAGCAGTTCCTGCTCGTCACCCAGGGAGACCTGCAGGTGGGCGCGGGGCTCGGCGCGGCGCGGGGCTGCGCCGCGGCCCCGGAGGCGGTTTGAGGTCACCGCCGTCCGCTCCGCAGCTGCTGAAGGCCGAGACGGACGCGCTGGAGGTGCTGGTGAACGCAGCCTTCCCGGAGCCCGAGGACGGCCCGCAGCACCTCGCGCCCCACCGGCGGCTGCGCTCCCAGCACGAGAGGTGGCTGTGCCTGCAGATCCGCTCCGCGGCCGCCAGCATCCAGGTACGGCCGCCGCCGGAGCTCCGGGGGCCCGCAGCCGGCAGGCAGCGCAGTGCAGCGCAACGGGAGGCAGCGCTTTGGCCCCGCGGAGGCGCTGCCCCATCGGGCCTCTCCGCTCGCAGCTGTTTGCGGGGGATGTGCTGAAGCTCTTCTCCACCGACTGCAAGCGGATGTCGGCAGAGATCTTCGACCAGACCATGCCGCTGGGCAGGCACTGGAGGCTCGGCCTCCGAGCCGGTGGGTGGCGGTCCCCCATCCCCCCCCCCCCCCCCAGAGGACGGGGCCGCGGGGCTGACGCCGTGTCCCCGCAGAGCTGCCCAGCTCCCCCAGCGAATACGCGGCGGCGGCGGCTCAGACGGTGCTGGGCCAGGTGCTGCAGGGCGCGCAGCTGCTGCCCCGCGACTCCCAGGTGCCCACGTTGGCGCGGGTGATGACGGCCTTCGTGGAGGCGTGGATGGATCACATCCTGGCCCAGAAGATCAAGTTCAGGTCCGGAGGGAGCCGGTGGGGGGGGGGAGGTCCGGGGGGGGCGCTGGGTCGGTGCTGAGGCGCTGCCCGCAGCCTGCAGGGCGCTCTGCAGCTGCAGCAGGACTTCGCGCTGGTGCGGCAGCTGGTGCAGTGCGAGCAGTACGGGCTGGAGCCCGACACGAGGCAGGCGCTGCTCTCCCTGCGCGTCCTCCAGCAGATGGACGGCGCCATCCTCTGCCTCCTGCAGCAGCCCAGCGGCAAGGCGTATCTGCCCCCCCACGGCTGGCCCTCCCTGCGGCAGTGCTGTGAGGGGGGCTTGGGGGTTGGGACGGAATGGGACGGGGGGGGAGTGGATGGGACGAGGATGGAATGGAGGTGGGACGGGGATGGGGGGAAGGTAGGGATGGGGACAGAAATGGAATGGAGACGGGGTGGGAACGGGAATGGCGATGGAGATGGGGATGAAGTTTGGGAAAGAGATGAAGATGGAGACGAAGCTGGGAGCCCCCGCAGCTCCCACCGCGCTCCCTCCCCCAACTCCGTCTCCTCTCACCCCTAGGCTCCAACCACGGTGCCCGCACACAGGAGCTGGGCGCCAGCAGCCTGCACAGCCTGGAGACCCTGGAGGCAGCGGGGCCTTCAGCGGGCCCCCCGCCGCCCCTTCCCGGCGCGGAGCCCCCCGGCCGGCCCCGCGGCGGCCCCCCCGAGTCCTACCTGTCGGGCGGGCAGCAGCAGTGGTTGGCGCTGCGGCTGCACGGTGCGCGGCGCTGGCGCGTCCCCGGGCTGCCCTGCATGGCCAAGAGCCCCGAGGGCTGAGCGCGGCCAAAATAAAGCGACGCGGCGCTGGGCTCCGACTTCTGTCTCGGTCCCTGGGGTCTCGCGCGGGAGGACCGGGCCCGTACCGTGGCCGCGAGCATCCGGGCGCGTCACTCCCCGCCCCGCCACCGTCTGCCATCGGCGCTGCCGCTGTCCTGCGCGCGTGCCCCCGCGGGGACACCGGGCGGGGCTCCGTCCCCACCGCCTCTGAGCTCCATCCGCAGTGTGTGCGGTTCCCCGTGGTCGTGCCCAGGGATCCCGGCCACGAGCATCCACGGAGGGGTCTGAGATTCCCCCACGCGGTGTCCGCGCGTGCACGGGGGCCGTCGGGACCCCCGCCCGCCCCGCACCCCGTTTGTTTCCCGCGGTGCCGGTGGGACTACGGCTCCCATGATGCCGCCGCTCCTCCCGGTCACTTCCTCCGCGCGGCGGGGCGGGGTCCGGCCGAGCAGCGCGCCCCTTCCCCTCCCTCCGGTCCCGGTGCCGCCGGGATGTCCGCCGCCAGCACGGCCGAACCGGGCGCTGCCGCCCGCGCCCCGTTCGCCGCGGCAAGTATCGGGAGCGGAGCCCCTGAGCGGTGCCGGGGGTTCCTCGCCGGGGGCGGTGGGTGGGAGGGGGCCGCGGGGGTCCCGTCGGGGCGCGCGGTGACGGGCCGTCCGTGCACGCAGGGCCCGAGCGCGGAGCAGCAGCAGCAGGAGGAGGAGGAGGAGGGTGGGGAAGAAGAGGGGGAAGACGGCGCCGGGGGGGCGCGGTCCTGGGCTCCCCCGGAGAAACTGCTGCACGAGGCGCGGCTCAGGGCCAAGGCCAAGCGGCGGCTGCGGCGCACCTCGTCCCGGGACTCCGCCCGGGAGCCGCCGGCCGAGGAGCCGGGCGCCGAGCCCGGCAGCCCCAAGGGCAGAGCGCACGACCGCAGATCGCGCGGCGGGAAGGGCCGCGGGCTGCCGAAGAAAGGTGAGTGCGGGGTGGCCCCGCAGCCCCTGTGGGGTGCGCGCCGTGCCCCCCGGCTGAGCCCCTCCTGTGCCCGCTGCAGGTGGCGCGGGGGGTAAAGGCGTGTGGGGAGCCCCCGGCGTGGTGTACGGCTACCAGGAGCCCGACTCCCGCGACCCCAACTATGATGAAGTGGCGCAGGTATGACCCTGCCCCCCCCTGCTGCCCCGCACCCATCCCACTGGGTGCCCCACTGGAGCCCCCCGTCCGACCCCACAGGGGGACACGGTCTATGCCACCGTGGTGCCCGAACTGGAGGAGGACGAGCTGGAGCAGAACGTGCAGCCCATGGTGCTGGAGTACTTCGAACATGGGGACACCAGTGAGGTCGTGGTGCGTCGGGGGTGAGGGGACCCGTGGGGGGAAGGAAGGTCCGTGGGGTGGAGCCCTTGCGCGGGGAGGTGGCTGGTGGGAGCCCTCAGGAAGGAGCAGAGTCTCTTGAGGGGATGGGAGGCACAGTAGTGCTGGAGGGCATTTGGGCCAGGCCGTGGCACAGGGCAGGGTGTGGGCACCCACCGGTGCTGCGGTGCCGGGCGCAGGAGCTGCTGCGGGGGCTGAACCTGGGCGGCCGGCGGCACACGGTGCCCTCGCTGGCGGTGGCACTGGCGCTGGAGGGCAAAGCGAGCCACAGGGAGCTGACGTCACGGCTGCTGTCTGACCTGGTGGGCCGCGTGCTGAGCCCCGAGGACGTTGCCTGGGCCTTCGACAAGATGCTGCGGGACCTCCCCGACCTCATCCTCGACACCCCCGAAGCCCCCCAGGTGCTGGCGGGGATGTGCGGTTGGGGATGGGGCCATGGTGGGGAGTGGGCGTGGGGTCGGGGGTCCTCATGCCGACCCCGTGTCCCCCACAGATGCTGGGGCAGTTCATTGCCCGGGCGGTGGCCGACCACGCACTGCCCCTGGGCTTCCTGGAGCGCTACAAAGGCCGCGTAGACTGCGAGCATGCCAGGTGAATGCTGCCCTCACCCTGCTGCCCTCACCCCGCTGCCCACCCCGTGCCCTGCACTCACTTGCTGCTCCACAGGGCCGCCCTGGATCGCGCTGCCGTCCTGCTCCGCATCAAACGTGACGTCAACCGGCTGGACAACGTTTGGGGTGTGGGGGGTGGGCAGCGCCCCGTCAAACACCTGGTGAAGGAGGTCAGCATGAACCAGAGCCCTCCCAGTGCCTCACTGGTGCCTGCTGGTGTTCCGTGCTGGTGCCTTGTCCCTTCATACATCCCTGTGGCCGCCACCGTGCCCCATGCCCCCAGCTCCCCCTCGTCTCCGGATGTGCCCTGCATGTCCCCTGCCATGCTCCTGTGGACGTGTCCCTGGCTGTGCCCGTGTGGTGTCCCTGCTCCCATCCCTGCGTTCATTTGGTCCCAGTGCCATCCCTTCATCCACACCATGTCCTTGTGCCACGTTCCCACGCATGTCCAATACCACATCCCCATACCAGATCCCCGTGCCATATTCTTGTGGCACATCCTTGTGCAGCATCCCCATACCCCCACGCTATGCCTCCATGCCACATCCCCTTGTCCCTGCACAACATCCCCATACTGCATCCCAGTGTCCCCGTGCCACGTCCCCACACCACATCCTTGTTCCACATCCCTGTGTCACCGTGCCACGGCCGCGTGCCTGTACCGTGTCCCACAGATGAACCTGTTATTGCGTGAGTACCTGCTGTCCGGGGAGGTGTCAGAGGCTGAGCGCTGCCTGCGGGCGCTGGAGGTGCCGCACTTCCACCACGAGTTGGTGTACGAGGTGAGCGCTGTGCCGGGCGGCGCTGGGGGGGGTCCGTGGCCCCACTGATGTGTGGTCCCTGCAGGCGGTGGTGATGGTGCTGGAGGGCTCCGGGGACGCGCCGGTGACGACGATGGTGACGCTGCTGCAGGTGTTGTGGGAGACCGGGTTGGTGACGCTGGACCAGATGAACCGGGTCAGCACAGGATGGGGGGGCGGGGCAGCGCCGACACCGACAGCGACGCTGACAGCAGTGTGGCTGCAGGGCTTCCAGCGGGTGTATGCAGCACTGGCAGACCTCAGCCTGGATGCGCCGCTGGCCCACGCGCGCCTGGAGCGGCTGCTGGAGCTGTGCTGTCAGCGCGGCGTGGTGACGCGGGCACTGCGGGATGCCTGTCCTGCCAGGTACGGATGGGGGCGTGGGGACACGGGGGGTGCGGGGCACCGCCAGTTATGGGACAGGGCCATGGGGACACGTGGGGACACGGGGCGCTGCCAGGTTTGGGATACGGGGGCGTGGAGACGTGGGACCCTGCCAGGAACGGGATGGGGGTGGGGGGGACGTGGGGTCCTGCCGGCTTTGGGACACGGGGCGGGGCGCCGCGCGAGACCTGCGCCGCCGGGTACGGGGTGGTATTGGGGTGGGGGCACCGGGGGGCCGCCGGTACGGGACGCGGGGACGCTGTGGGGCAGCGGCCTCCCCCCATCACCCCCCTCGCAGGGGCCGGAAGCGTTTCGTCAGCGAGGGCGACGGGGGCCGCGTGAAGCAGTGAGCGCCGGGCGGAGCCCCGCAGCGCCGGTCCGCACCGGGCACAATAAAGCTCTGCCGGGAGCCCCGCTCCGCGTCTGCGCTCAGTCCTCCCGCAGGCGGCTCCGCTAGGGGGCGCCGCAGCCGCGGCCCGGCGGCGCTCCGTCCTTCCGGGCGCGTCGCGCGGCGATGACGTCTCCAAGATGGCGGCGGAGAGGCGGCGGCGCGGCGCCGAGGGCCCCCGGGAGGCGCGGGTCCGGGCCCGGGAGCGCGGGGCGGCGCGGGGGGAGCGGGGCGGGCGCGCCGCGCTGGGGCTGGCGGCGGCGCTGGCGCTGGGGCTGGGCCTGGCGGCCGCGGGGGCCCTGCTGGCGCAGTGGGGCCGGTGGCGGGCGGCGTCCCGCGCCGTCAGCCCGCACCCCGCCGCCCCCGCGCTGCCCCCCGGCGCCACCGGGCCCAGCAACGCGCCGCGCCGCTTCTGGGGCTCCTACCGCCCGCACGTCTACTTCGGCATGAAGACCCGGAGTCCCCGCAGCGTCGTCACCGGTGCGTGCGGGGCGCGGGGGCGCGGGGTGCGGGGCGGCCGGGCCCGGTCTGAGCGCCGCCCCCCCCAGGCCTGATGTGGCTGCAGCAGCGGGACGGCGCGGAGCTGCGGCACACCTGCGAGCAGAGCGACGGGCTGCGGCGCTACGGCTGGCTGCTGCACGACGGCGAGCGCTTCGGCCTGCAGGACATCCACGACCGAGGGCTGCTGCTGCGCACCGAGTTCGTCAAGCGGCCCGGCGGGCTGCACGGCGGGGACTGGAGCTGGCGCGTCACCGCCCGGCCGGAGGTGGGGCCGCAGCCCCTCGTGGTGCCGCGAGCGGCCCGAGGGGGGACCGCGGGTGTTCGCCACGCCCCGCCCTGCCGCGCGTCTCACCCCCTCTGCAGGGCGCGGACGGCCGGGCCGCTCTCGTCTCCCTCTTCTTCTACGTGGCCACGGACGGGCAGGGCGAGCTGCGGCCGCAGCTGGAGGACGGCACCCGGCTGGCGGCCGTAACGGGGACGTCGGAGGAGCTGGGCGACTTCAAGATCGCCTTCCTCCGGCCCACCGCGGACGACGGGGAGGACGTCAAGTACAGCAGGTGCCCCGCGCGGTCGGCGCTTCCCGGCCCCGCGGCGCTGCGGGGCGCTGACGGCCTCTCTCCGCTCGCAGCTTCCACTACCTGGACGCGTGGAGCCCGGGGCTGCACCGCCTCACCGACGTGGTGCGGAGCAGTCTGAGCGACCGCTTCGTCTTCGCCCCTCCGGATGGGCCCCGGCAGCGCTTTGTGGCCGTGGACGCGTTCCGCGGGCTGCCGGGCACGGCGGAGGCCCCGCGCAGCCACCTCCTGCTGCACCAGGTGACGCTGCGGCTGCCGGCCCGCGTGGAGGTGACCTTCGAGTCGGGCAGCGTGCGGGAGCGGCGCGCCGCGCTGCTGGGGCCGGCGCTGACGGCGGAGCTGGCGCGGCACCAGGCCGCCTTCGAGCGGCGCTTCGAGGAGACCTTCGGGCTGGAGCGCAAAGGCTTTCCGCCCTCGCAGCGCCGCTTCGCGCAGGCGGCGCTCAGCAACATGCTGGGCGGGATGGGCTACTTCCACGGGCGCTCCCTGGTGCGATCCCCGCTGCACGAGCAGCCCGTGCCCTACCCCGAGAGCTCGCTCTTCACCGCCGTGCCCTCCCGCTCCTTCTTCCCCCGCGGCTTCCTGTGGGACGAAGGCTTCCACCAGCTGCTGCTGGCGCGCTGGGACCCCGAGCTGAGCCGCGAGGTGTTGGCGCATTGGCTGGACCTGATGAACGCCGAGGGCTGGATCCCGCGGGAGCAGATCCTGGGGGACGAGGCGCGTGCCAAAGTGCCCCCCGAGTTCGTGGTGCAGCACAGCGAGACCGCCAACCCTCCCACGCTCTTCCTGGCGCTGCGGCGGCTGCTGGGCTCCGCCCCGCTGCCCTACTTGCGACGACTCTTCCCCCGCCTGCGCTCCTGGTACGAGTGGTACAACGGCACGCAGGCCGGCCCGCTGCCCCACACCTTCCGCTGGCGCGGCCGCGACGCCGACCCCGAGCGCTTCCTCAACCCCAAGACGCTGGCGTCGGGGCTGGACGATTACCCCCGCGCCTCGCACCCCTCGGCGGACGAGCGGCACCTGGACCTGCGCTGCTGGATGGCGTTGGCCTCGCAGGTGCTGGCGGAGGCGGCCGAGCGGCTGGGCGAGCCGGCGGAGCTCTACCGGCAGGCGGAGAGGGCGCTGAGCGACAACGAGCTGCTGGAGCGGCTGCACTGGGCCGAGGAGCTGAGCGCCTTCGCCGACTTCGGCAACCACAGCCGGGCGGTGGGGCTGCGGCGCGAGGCGGGGCGGGCGGCCCCCGGGCGGCCCCCCCCGGCCCCGCGGGTGGTGCGGGTGGTGCACGAGGCGCCCCGGCCCCGCTTCGTGGACGCGCTGGGCTACGTCAGCCTCTTCCCGCTGCTGCTGCAGCTGCTGCGCCCCGACTCTCCTCGGCTGGGCGCCGTGCTGGCGGCCATGCGGGACGAGCGGCGGCTCTGGACGCCCTTCGGCCTGCGCTCGCTCGCCCGCGACAGCCCGCTGTACATGCAGCGCAACACCGAGCACGACCCGCCCTACTGGCGGGGCTCCGTGTGGGTCAACATCAACTACCTGGCGCTGCGGGCGCTGCACGGCTACGCCAACCAGCCGGGGCCGCACCGCGAGCTGGCGGCGCGGCTGTACGGGGAGCTGCGGCACAACCTGATCGGCAACCTGTACCGGCAGTACGCCGAGAGCGGCTACCTCTGGGAGCACTACAGCGACAGCACCGGCAGAGGGCAGGGCTCGCACCCCTTCACCGGCTGGTCGGCGCTCGTGGTGCTGGCGATGGCCGAGGACTACTAGTGGCTTTCTCAGGGGCCGGCGCGGGGTCCCGGCCCCGGGGCTCCCGTCCTGCACCAACAATAAACCTTGGATGTGACGCCGGTCACCGCCTGTGTTGGAGGTCAGCGTGACGGTGCGCGCACGGCCGCCGCAGCCCAGCTCCGTGCTTTTCCCCGCGCTGCCGCGTGTAGCACCGCCTCAGCACGGGGGTCTCTGCCCACGGGGAGAGCCGCTCCGCAGCTCAGCGCGCACCCCGAACCCGCGGCCGAGCACGGCAAGGCTGTGATTCCACATCTCTTTAATGATGACGGAACGCTACTGGGGTCCCAGCCACCCGCACCCAGGCCCGCAGGCTGCAGCGGGACGGAGCCGCCCCCGCGGCCGGGCTGGCTGGGGCCCGGCTCCCTGGAAGCAGTTCGGAAGGGAAGGCGCGGGGCGCGGCGGTGCCGCAGCAGGGTACCGGCGGGGCCGTCCCGGGGGCTCCGCGGCGAGAGTCCACAGCCCGGGGACGGCGGCGAGGAGCGGAGGCGAGGGAGGGCGGCCACGCCGCGCCCGGACCCTCTGAGCAGGGGCGGCTTCGGCACCGCGGTGCCCCCAGCCCGGCTGCTCCAAGGCGGGGAGCGGCGACGGCGGCGGGGAGGAGAGGCGCGGGTCGCTCCGGGCGGGGCGGCGGCAGCGTCACGGGGGGAGGCGGCCACGCGGCCGGTCGGGGCCCCTCACACGGGCAGGGGAGCGGCGCCCGGCTCGGCGCTGCTCGGCTCGGTCGGGATGCCGCGCTGGGGCTGCGCGGAGCCGGCCTTGCCCAGCAGGCGCGCGCCCTCGCCCTCGCTCTCCTCGCCGCCCTCCTCCTCCTGGCAGCGCCCCACCTCGATGCCGGAGTCGCCCGTCAGACGCCGGTGCCGGCGATGCTCGCCGCCCTCCTCTGGCGCCGCGCCGCGCCGCTCCTCGTCCTCCTCGTCCTCCTCCTCGCCCTCCTCGATGTCAGAGCAGCGGTGGCAGTCGGCCTCGAAGAAGTCCACGTTGGAGGAGAAGAGCGCGTGTTTGTGCGGGGCCGGGCGGGCGGGCGGCTCCTCGGGCAGCTCCCAGCTGGCGCCGGTGCCGGTGCTGCTGGTGCCGCACTCCTCGCTGGGCGTGCTGGCCTGGCTGCGCTCCGTCTCGTCCGTCACCTGCACCGAGAGCGAGGTGCTGCTGGGGGACGTCACGCAGCTCGACTCGCACGAGCAGCTGGTGTAGTTCTCCGAGCTGGGCGACAGCGTCAGGCTGCTGGAGCCCAGGCGGCTGCGGGGCCCGCTCAGCTGCGCCAGGATGGAGCTGTAGGGCGGCGGCGGCGTGCTGGGCCGGTGGGCCACCTCCTCGTAGGCGGGCAGCTTGAAGGAGGCCAGCATCCCTGCCGGCAGAGGGGCGGGGGGGTCAGCGCGGCACGGCCGGAGCGAACGGAGGGGTGGGGGGGGGGGGCAGCGGGGCGGGGGCAGCACTCACTGAGGTCCATCATGGAGGCGGGGTAGTTGCAGGCACCGTGGTAGGCGATGAGGTTGATCTCCCGCTGCCGCTGCTGCTGCTGCAGGCGCAGCTTGGCCCGCCGGTGCCGGTAGGCGCAGCAGCAGCTGAAGAGGATGAGGACAGTCCACAGCAGCCAGAACCCTGCGGGCAGAGCGCCGTGACCGCCCCGTCCCGTCCCGCCCCGCCGCCCCCGGCCCCGCACTCACACCACAGCTCGTAGTAGTAGGTGCAGCAGCCGCTCTCCCCGCAGCAGTGCCCGGTCTCGCACACGTACGGCTGGTTGTTCGCCCCCGGGCAGAACTCCCGGGCCTGCGGGGCACAACCGACTCATCGCGGCCGGCCCCCGCCCGGCCCCGAGCCCGCGCCGGAGGAGGGCCGGGGCCGAGACGGGGCCGGTCGTGGCGGTGCCGGGCTGTCCCGGTCGTGCCGGTGCCGTTCGGGCCCTCGCCCGCCCCGCCCGTACCTGGTGCTGCCGGCCCAGCAGCGCGGCCCAGGCCCCCTCGGCGCCGCCGCCGGGCCGCTCCATGGCGCCGCCTACAGCCCTCGGCGGCCCCGCGCCGGCTCCTCCCGCTCGGCCGCCCCGGCCCCCGCCGCCCGCAGCAGCAGCCGCTGTCCCCCCGCCGCCGCCGCCGCCCCCATGGCGGCCGCCCGGGCCCCCG